TTAATTTCTTTTTTTAACTTTTTTATTTCTTTAATATCATCGTTCGAATGACTATTCAAGCTTTTAAAATCAAATTAGTTAATATTGAACTGCTTTTTTTTTTTATATCACTGATATATATACACACTTAAAATAAAAAAAGTATAAACCAAGAAAAAAACTCAAAAAGTCAAATAATAGAAATGTATCACATCTAATATTTCTAGCCACTTACACAAAGAGAAATGTTCACAAAATACTGTTAGACAAGCTTCACTAGGTCTAATAAAAGGTGAAGACGATAGTAGCAGCAGTAACAGTTTACAAGAAAATTTCTCAAAAGAAGTTAGTATATTAATAATTATCACTCAATAAATAGTAAAGATAATAGTAGCAATAGTGAAAGTTTACAAGATGATAGAAGCCAGTATATCAAAGATGGTCTTGATGACAATTTTTTCACAACTTTTGATAAATCGAGTTGTAGTGACCAGTTAACGATTATAGAAGAATTACAAATAGAAGAAAAAGAATTTGAACAAATTATAGTAGATAGTAAAATTGATTTTTAGACACTGTTTGGAGAGTACAGCTCATATTTTAAAAACTTTACGAAGATGTCTTTTTTTACTTGGGTCACAAAGTATATGATCAGTATATATTAATTAGAAATTTACTATATTTATATACGTACTATATATCTATCGCTATGTATATATATGTATATATCTTTGCATAATTAATTATTACTAATATATACTTAATTAATTCATTATTTATAACTAGCAAGTAATGCATATAAAGAATCTTATATGTATAATTCAATATTCTAACTTTCACTTTGAACATGTGATTAAGAATATTAGATGGTAAAGTTATTATATAACTGACTCCCTCTTTAAATAATAAAAAGTCATCAAGTCCCAATTCAAAACTTGAAGACATCATCAATATTTACACTATTCAAGAATTTCTACACTATATCCATAAGTGAATATATTAGAAAAGTCTTGGATAATAGAAATTTATAATCACCTATGTACTTTAGACCTGGGATTGAAGCCAAAACAAGATTTGAGTTTTGGTACAGGTATATTTAGCAGGAGTTGAAATTTGAGTATACTCTATTGGATGCCGATGCTGTAATTTGATATCCCTTATCTTTTACCGGCCTTCATAACTATATAATATTTCCTTAATATAAAACTGATAATGTTCAGATAGTTTTAAACTATCTTGAAGCCATACAGTAGTTGGTCTAATAATTTTATGTAAATCTACCAAAGACATTGTTTCGCCTAACTATAACTCTTCATTCTGTAATCACTCTAACCTTGTCAAACTTGTGAAGATTTTTGGTAAATCAGAGCAATGATAAAGATGTTGAATCTTTAATTTGATACTACTCGAAGCTAAAACTATTGCAATAATTCTTCTAATCCTTGTTTTTTTGTTCTTGTATTTAATGAAAAGTCCTATTAAGTATAATTCTAAATATTCTTTTGTAATTATTAATAAAAATTGTTTAAATT